GAATAATCTATCCTCTTTAATGATTCCAAAACATCAGGTTCAGAAATTAGAAAAACTGACATCAGAGTCTTACTAGTCTTAATTGGTTTGGGTATGTCATCAACCATCTCACTGTTCATTGTACACATTGAAGCAAAATGGTCGTTTAGAACATCAGCTTTCTCATTGGGTTCACTTACAAGTTTGCCAGAGGAAGATCGAATAGGAGGAATTGATGATTTACTAGTACGACCTAAAGAATGCTTGACAAGTGTCCACCATCTCTTTGATTTTGTACTTATATCAACAGATATTTGTGTATAATAGTGATTTTTTGCTGTATTGTATTCCTTTTCAAACGACCTAGATATTTCTTTATAAGAAAGAAAATTTTTATCATTTTTGTTTCGTTGATATCGATAAAACGCTTTATTTTTATCACATAGCATCAACCGCAACTTTTCATTAAACCAGACTGTATCTCTAGAGGACACAGTTATTGTTTTATGAGGAATACCGGAATTTGCAATATCAAGTATTTTATTTTGTACTAAACAAACTGCATCATCTAGAGAACTGCCATGGATCAATGAATACCAATCTATATATGAAAGTTCCGAGCGATAATTATCCCAATCAGTTACCTTATAATTATAGCATTATTTGTTATAGCAGCAGTCCGAAAGTCTATAAACATTTTTTTATAGGTTTTCAGATATGCTCTTTCCGATGATGCGCTTTAAAAGGTTTCAGAATACTTATGTAAGGGTTTTCTAGAGACCAGGTCTCTGGAAAACCCAGATGAAAGTCTCTTTGAACTTTGAAAAATACACCATTGGAAAGAGCATATTTGAAAACCTATAAAAAAATGTTTATAGACTTTCGGACTGCTGCTATAACAAATGTCCGCTTGATCTATGGAAAAATGCACACTGTGTGAGGGTGAGGAGATTGCACAGTGACTTCCAAACCTCCTCTTCTAATCGTGAAATGATTTTCATCGTATTCCGCATCAGTTTCTACCTATTCGTGGTTAGTTTGGTTGATTCTGAACGAAAAATCGAGGATTTAGTGGAAAATGACTTGGTCGTTTGTTCTACGTTTTGAAAGAAAATGAAATAACTCAACAGGAAATCAACAGAAAAGGAAAAAATTAAAACTCTAGAGCTATAACTTTGTTCTCCGTCTCACGGCGGTTCGAATGGAATAAAATTCAAGGCTTCATCACTTCAGGAAAAATACTTGATGCTTTTTTGAGCGAAGGGACTCGCTCTTGAGTCCTCCGAGGAACGATTTTTTTTTCGAATTATAAAAGAGATATGCTGAACTTCAAAACCATATTTTCATATTAAGTTTGTGACGCTGAATTCGAAAAAAAAGGTTTCAAAGCTTCAAAATGAGACGGGAGAAAACTAGAGTCATTTTTCTGAGAGGACGAGTTTTTTCCGTTTTGAGCACCCTTGTCGTATTTCGCAGTTTTCATTGTGAAGAAAAGGTCGCAAAGCAAAAAAAGGTGATATTCGGATTCAGCTCGCTTTCCTCTATCAAAATATGTCTGTTAAAGTCAAAAAAAAATAGTGCTTAAACTTTGACTTTGGAGCGCCTTACCAGTTCTAACTTCATTAATAACATCGTCGAGATGATTAGTAAATGAGTCGACATCAACCCACTTAGGCCGACAACAAATAGCTAAGAACACTGTTCTATATTTTGAGTATTTTATTTTAAAAAACATTGTCTCAAAATTTTGTTTCTCTAATTGCATGTGTCTTTGAGCAACTGTATCATTACGAACGTACGCTAGAATTCCACCGTAACCATTTGGGCCTATTTCTCTATCACATCTAAATGTTTGATAATTCGGAAATAATAAATCATCTGTATGTGTAGAATTATCAAGCCATGTCTCAACTCTCATTACTATAGCAGGGTTACTATCTGTTAACATCAAAAATAAAACCTCTAATTTTGTAACATCAACCCGATTCGGAAACCTAACACTGTCATCAATACGCGCCATGATACTATTTGTATTTATCAAGAGACAATCATAATTCTTGCAGCCTGGTTTATTATGACCATTATGGTACGTCATATATGAATGTATAAAATAGACTATATATATCACGCATCAAACAGCCGATCGAAACAGTAGATACCACATGTGACAGAATAACTATCATATCATTGTTACCTACATGTCTGCAGTGCATACTCAAGGATAAGTACAAAGAAAAAGAAAAACTATACATGTACGGCAAGTTCATTGATACGATTGTGACTATAGCTGTAGTGAAGACATAAAAGAAGAAACGAAATAGCACATGGACCTATATGTTCTTACTGACTAAATGGGGTTGTTTATGTAATGAGAGTTAACGTTTTATCATTGTTAACACGATAGTCACGACCATTACGTGTGATAATGGACTTTTTTCGATCTCCATTTAACTTAGAACGTTCATTTTGAAATAATGTTAAAGCACGTTTAGTTAAGTCTTCAACTATGGATATGTTTAAATTTTTACCTTGTAGTTTATAAGCTGAACGTAATATTTGTAATCGTAATGAGCGACTGTATAGACGTGCAATAATAGGACGATTTTTATCATTAATCCGTTTACCTATACGATGACTATTTTCTATATCATTTGTTGTTATTGACATGTCCAGATTGTTATTAATAACACTAACGATTTTCAATGTTGTATCTTCTGTGGCTTCTTTACTTATACCTAGTAAACGTATACAAAACGTTCTATTATAACGTTTTAAATCATTGATTTTTGCTTCTAATACTGATAAGCATTCTTCAAAATGCTTTAGTACGGGTTTTAATAATAGATTAGCCACTTTATCAGCAACCATAGCAAGATTACTTCCATTATCATCATTAAAGTTTTGTTTTTGTCGAACATCATTACCATTCTGATCATCAGTATGATGTGATATTATCATATTATGAATTGATTTACGTAATGTTTCATCAGTTTTTAAACTATTTAATATGGCGTCTTTCATTTTATCTTTTATTTTAGGATCTACGGTTTTCATCGAAATTCATGAAATTGTTTGCTGTAGAGATGCCCTTTCTATGGGAAAAATCTGAGATGGTCGATTGAGCACTTTAGGTTGTGGCTTAACTTTAATAGCTCATAAACGTAAAATCGATCTAACTTTCAACAATGGTCTATAGGGAAAAACTTGTTGTTCCATCATAATCAGCATCTAACTCTACAAAGCAGGGTGTGTGAGAATGAGAATCTCTGATGAAAGACGAGAGCAGAGAAAGATACTTTTCTGCTGGTATCTCACAAGCGACAGGCATCGTTTATCGTTATAGAATATGGGGAGTGCAATCAAAATGAAATTATTCTGTTTGATAGAATTCGTTTTATAACGGATAAATAATGAGCTTATGACCTTAAACATTCACTAACTACAAAACGTTTGGAAATAGTTATCACAGCAAACAAATAGTCTGGTAAAATGACACGTAGGAGAGAAAGAGTAAGACAAGGGATACACAATCCTCATGGGGGATTAGCCATTTTCATTCGTGATAAAACATCGTTTTCTTTTGTCTCTTACTGTCCAGAAATCGAATGTCTTTTAGTCCGTTCACAAATTAAATCGTTAGTTGTGTTTTTGTGCTGTAGCTACAGAAAGCCCTGGATAGATGCGGTAACGGGATATTCTGACAAATTGTCAGACGTTTTGTTGAAAAATGTATCGGGAAACATCAAAGCGAGTACGACTTCGAAGATGATAAGTAATAAAAGGTGGAGTAGGAACTAATTCGCAAAGATATTATGGAGCTCTACCCGAATTATATTATGAAACAAACACAGACGTCGTACCCAACATAAATCAAATATAGATAACCATCCTAAATAATTTTTGGTGAGAGGTGAAACGCAATGCGCCTGACACTGCCAACGCAGCTTGATATTGCATTCGTGCCAAACTTGTTAGATTTGTCCAGGTCGTCCTGCTGTACATTTGTATCGCATAATTGAGTATGCTAAGGATGAAGGTTTGGTACACCGTTGCCAAGGCCTGACGAGACATATATTTGCTCTGATATTTCATCAAGCCAATAATGGGTGAACACTTTTGTAACACCTTATCAATATGTGGAGTCCAATCCAAATTTGGAGTTAGAATAAGGCCAAGATGCATATGTTGATCAGTCTACTTCAGTCTTGTATTCGCAATGTATAAGGGTGGTGGAGATGATACAATACGACAAGTAAAGAACATGGCTGTACATTTAAGAGTATTTAAAGGGAGTGCCCAAGTCGTTGCCCATTGATGTATAATCCTTAGGTCTTTGTTCAAGACAGTTGCTGCTACCTGCAAATCATTCACGGTTGAATACAGAGAGATATCATCAGCAAACAGCTTACACATGGAATGAACAGAGTTGGGAAGATCGTCAATGTAGATTAAGAACAGGAGTGGTCCAAGGACAGAACCCTGTGAGACTCCACACGTAACTGACAACTGATCAGACGACATCCCATCAAGTAATGTAAGAATTTTCCTATCTGACAAAAACTACTAAACCAATTTACAAGACTGTCAGGGATGCCTTTACTGAGCAGCTTAAGTATCAAACCCTCGTGAGATACCTTATCAAATGCTTTGCTGAAATCTAGAAATGCAGCAATAACAGATTGTCCCTGATTCAGTATTACTGAAGATGAGTATGATCAACTATGGCAATCAACTGGTTGACCGATGAATCTTTATGTACAAATCCAGATTGACTACAATGTATAAGATTATTCGAACGTGAAAAACCAAAGACATGCTTATAAATTATGCGTTCAAAAATTTTAGATACTTCTGAGAGAAGCTCAATTGGGCGATAATTGCTAGGTAACTGAGCATCACCGCTCTTGAAAATGGGTATAATAAAGCCAAGTTTCCATATAGTTGGAAACTCACTATTACCAAGTGATTCATTGAACAAGTATGCCAGAACAGGGGTCAACACAGGAGCACCTTCTTTCAACATGCGATTAGCTATACCAGGCGCAGTGGCTTTACCTGTACCTATACACAGTCACGAGGAAATGAGGTTAGTTGATGTGTACTGGTGTCCAACAGTGACGGAACTGATGAATGCTTATTTCTTCCAAGCGTATATTTCAGTATAGTCCACCATTTTTTCGATGAACTGTTAACAGATGAAAATAGTCTTTTATAATATGAATTTTTCGCTTCAGTAATTGTCTAGTGTGTAATCAACTTACACTGTAATTCAGGGTTTTTGTAAATAACGATATCAAACAGCTCAGAAAAGCTTTGGTAAAGCGTGTGAAACAGCGAAAGAAGACCATTTTAAGAGAATTAGTTGAGTTGGCAATAGTAGTAAATAGTGGTGGAAACTTGTTCAACATAGCTCAGTGAAAATAAACACATTTACAATACCTATTCTTCAAAACGCCAACTACCACTTAATTTATGTTGATAGCGGAAAAGCTCACTTGTTAAATGAACATTTCACTTCAGTTTGTAGTATGTCAGTCGTAACACTGCAATCCCCTCCCCCCCCAACAACATTCCAAATGTTAACACATCACTTCCTCTATTTTATGTTTGTTCCCAAGAGGTTGAACGAGTTTTATCTCAACTAGATATTAATGAGGCTATCGCACCAGGTGTAAATAATCGGTTGTTGTGTGAATCCTCGATTATCGCTGAAGATGTTGCTTACATTTGTCGTAGCTCAATTACAATCTTTCCAAAGAAGAAATTGAAGCTATTACTACTTTATCTAAAGATTCTAATTTAGTGGTATCGAAAGTGGATAAATGGAACGCGATCGTGGTGTTAAACAAAGATGATTATTTATCAAAAGCTCAAGAATTATTGAATGACCAAAGAGCTTTTAAAAAATTGAAATCTAATTTGGCAATCAAACGAGAGCATGAATTTATTAATTTTCTACTGAAATTAAAGAGAAACAAACGGATTACTGAAGATGATTATAAGATTATGAGACCAAGAACAGACAGTAGAACTACAGAAGCTTATTTTCTTGTAAAGGTTCACAAGAATAATCTGCCTTTAAGACCTATTATATCAAGTTATGACTCTTATAATTATAACACAGCAAAATACTTAGCCAATCTCTTAGCGCCAGCTCTCAATGATGCACCGTCTTATGTGAAAGATACATTTGACTTCGTGGATAAAATTCAAAACAATAAACAAATGCCAGGTTTACTCTGCTCTCTGGACGCTTCATCATTGTTTACCAATGTGCCCTTAGAGAAAGCTATTCCTATTGCTATTGAAAAGATCAGAAATTATCATTCTCTTCTACCTATTGATGATACGAATTTGAAAGAGCTGTTCTACTACTGGACTAAAAGAACTAATTTTAAATTTAATAATGAAAATTACGACCAGCAGAACTGTGTTAGTATGGGTAGTCCTTTGGCACCCATACTTGCACATTTGTTTATGAGTAATTTATAAGAGAAAATTATTGAATATCGTGGTACAAAGCCTGATCTGTATTACCGTTACGTGGACGATATTTTTATGATCATGTACGGAACTCAGAAAGACCTCTACTCATTTAAAAAATTTGAATGAATAAATTAGAGCCCTCGATAAAACTCACAATTGAAATGCAAGATAAAAACAAACTTCCTTTTCTTGATGTCATGGTAGAGCGAACCGATTAAGAGTTGATTACTTATGTTTATCGTAAACCAACTGATACAGGCCTCTATCTGAAATGGACCAGCAATGAGCCTAGAACTTACAAAATTAATTTAATTAAATGTCTTTGTATTAGAGCCAAGTGTATTTGTTCATCAGAAGCTCTGTTGAAGCAGCAACTAGATTACTATGAGAAAATATTCACAGCTAACGGTTATCCACTCAACGTGATCAAAAAAACGATTAGAGGAGTTAGACTAGGAAAGATTATTACAAAACATCCTATGAAGTCAACAAAGAAAAAAGTCTTCGTATCTATGCCATTTTATGGTCAACGCTCTGTGATCCTAGCCAAAAAGATTAAGAAAATTCTCGAAAATCCAATGAAAGAAATTGTATTTGGATTTGCTGCTGAGACACGTATTTCAACCTTATTCAGTAAGAAATTTCGTGCAGAGAAAGATATGAACAAAGTGGTTTATCGATATGACTGTAAAGACTGTAATGCAGTGTACGTTGGACAAACTTCTCGTGATGTTGAAATTAGAAAAGAAGAACATATGAAGGCATTTCGTGGTCAAGGACACTCAAGAATTGCTGATCACCGCTTGAGTTTGAAACATGAGAATGACTGGCAACATAAGGTTATCGCAATTGAATCGAATGATACTAAACGTACAATCAAAGAAAGTTTACTGATGCAGCTAATAAAGAAAAAGTCAGGAAAGGACGTGTACTCTCAGCAGAGCTTTGAATTGAAACTATTTGGATAATCATTTAGAGACAGACACATTTCTCAGGAGTTTAAAAATTCTAAGAAGAAATGTACTCATTTAGACGTCTAAATGAGTAAAGTTTATTTCATTATATTGTTCCGTCGGTCTTGTTTCGTTTTCCTATATATTTAACTGTCCTTTTTTAATTGTAACGTCATTTGACTGATGATGTACTTAGAATAAAGTACGAAACGTCTCAAAATGCTTAAAGCGGTGTCTATTGTTCTCATCTTCATTATTAAGCGTATTCACCGTATCCACAAAAATCAAAATGATTCAGTTGTTCATTCAATATACGATGATCGAGCTTCTGACAATGGTCTTGAGGTTTGTTTTTCTTGACTTTAAGAAGGCCCGTGACTAAGTCTGGCATAAGGGATTACTTTATAAATTGAAAAAAATGGTGTTTGCTTCGAACTAGTAGGGTGGTTCGAAGATTATTTATTTAATCGTCAAATCATAACAATCGTCATTCAGTTGTGATAGTCTACAATGCAGCATATTAGGCCCCTATTTCTTGTTTATATTTATGATGTCGGGATTAATCTGGTTTCGAAGGCTCACCTTTTCGCTGATGACACACTGCTTTTTTTACAATGGTACTAGTCAGAAAGGGTCACCGATACCTTGAACAATGATTTTGCTCTAGTCTATCAGTGATGACTGCGATGACTTTTACCATTAAATTTCATAAAATGTGTCGCAATGTCTTTTCTAAACAGCCATCACTGAGAAAACTACAACTAGCAACTCATATTCTAGAGCGTGTCGAAGTACATCGACACCTAGGTGTGTACTTTACTTCATCATTAACCTGGAAACGTCATATAACTTATATTGTTTCCAAATGTAATTCTACTCTGGGTATGATGATGAAGTTTAAATAACATTTTCCACCCCGGTCTTAGACCATGCACATAAATCATATATATTAACAATCCTAAGCTACGCAGACGTGATCTATTCATGCACAATAAAAACGATTCTTCAAACGGTACTACGCTTACAGTACAGAGCTGATGCTCTTCTAGTTTCTGAAGCTAATCAATTGTCTAGCAGGGAGAAGAGCTTGCAGATACTAGGTTTTGCCGGATATTCAGGTACTTTATGATGTTCACAGGTTGCTTCTTTACGCAATATTATCGGTGGCCAGGCTCCCCTGTATTTATCTTTTTATGTTCAACGCAGATACAGTACCGCATAATCTGCGTAAGCGAGCAACTTTCAAAAACATCACACTTGATTCGAGGACGACGGACTGATCTGAAAGAGACCTACATAAGAGCTATTAAAGTTAAATTTTAAAATTCGTGCAGTGAAAATCGAAGAATTCTTGAATCATGGATCAAAATAAGTGTATTTTTGAAACTTGAATTCTGAAAGCCTTGAATACTGGAATCGTTGAATCCGAGGATCTCAGAGTCGTTGATTCATTGAATCTTTGCAATAAGATGTAAGTTTACTTTTGAAACTTGAATCCCAGAATCCGCGAATTTTAGAATCGTTGCGGTAAAAAATCCCAGAATTCTTGAATCATGGATCTCGAAATCCTTCAATCCATGATAACTACTTTCTTTTAATATCTTAGAATTCTGGAATACTTGATTCCAGGAATTCTAGAATCCTTGACGACTTGAATCCTACAATCCATGAATCCTAGAGTCCTTGAATCGTTAAATGGGAGTATACTAGAATCTTCGAATTCTTGAATCCTAGCCATAAAAAACAGGTGTACTTCTAAATCTTGAATCGTAGAATCCTTGCAATAAAAAACAAGAACTTTTAAAACCTTGAATTCTAGAATCGTAGTGTCCTAGAATCCATTAATTCCAGAATCACTACAGTGCTTGAATCGTCGAATCGGAGTATATTAGACTCCTTGAATCCTAGCAGTAAAATGTACGTATACTTTTGAAAATTTGATTCTCTAATATAATATTCCGAGAATATTAGAGTCCTTGAATCCTTGCGGTAAAACTTACGCTTACTTTTGGAACTTAAATCCTAGAATCCGTGAATTTTAGAATCGGTGCACTGGAAATCCAAGAATCCTTGAATCATAGATCTTAGAACGGTTGATGCCCGGAATAAAACAAAAACTACTGTCTGCTTGTGTCTTGGAACTCTAGAATCAAGCAGATACTTGATTCCGAGCGTCTTAAAATCCATGAATCTTAGAATCCTATCAATAAGCAATAGGTCTACTTTTGAATCTTGAATCCTAGAATCCTTGCAATACAACATAAATGTACTTTGGTACTAGCGGACTTTTGTACAATGGGGACAATTGATAAATCAGCACGTGTTTTAGGTGTTAGAAAATTTCGATTTTTTTGGAATTTTGGACCCTAAAATGTTTTTCTGTAACTATTCTCACTCAGCTCAACGAGCTCGATCGAACCATGTATAAAAATCGAAGAAAAAATTTTTGCCCGAATTTTGAATTTCCGGAACCTTATATACGGTCAAAGCTCGAGGATTCCAGGGTTCAAAACGAACGCTCTTTTCTGTTGCTAGGATTCTGACATTCTGGGATTCTAGGGTTCAAGTAAACGTATTTTTCATTGCAAGCATTTAATTCTATTGTTCTGGGATTCGACAGAACACTTACATTATTCTACTTACACGATTCCACAGTACACTTATTTAAGAATTTTAAGATTCTAGGAAGCAGCATTCAGAAGTATATGTATTTATTATTGCAAGATCTCAGAGATTCTAGCATTACAAAATTGAACATCCAAAACCCGGCTTATTTTTTTTGATACGATTCAACAATTCTATCACTCTTCATTCTAGGATTCAAGGATTTCTGTATGCAAGATCCCAGGATCCAAGTCTCAAAAGTACACTTATTTTTCATGGCAAGTTCAATTCTACGGTAGCATTCCAGCATATTGGGCTTCTGGTATTCAAAATTCAAAATTCAAAACTTTCTTTCTTCTTATTCCTTGGATGCAAGGATTTTAGGACACATGATTCAAAAGTACACTTATTCTTTATTGATAGGATTCAAGAATTCCAGGATTCAACGATTCTCGGATTGAAGTTTCAAAAATACACTTATTTTGATCCATCATTCAAGTATTCTTCGTTTTTCGCAGCAAAAATTCCAAAATTGTCCTTTGAAAAGTTCCAATTGGTCGTCGGACTCACGTCTTCAAAAGTTCTCGGATGCAAGGTTCAGAACTACACTGACTTTTTACTGACACGACCCAAGGACTATAAGACTCAACGAATCTCGGATCCAAGGACAGACTTATTTTGCACTGCAAGCATTCCGTGAGTCTTCAAGACTCCAAAGTACACTTGTTTTTTACTGATAGGATGCAAAGATTGTATGACTCTTCGATTCTCAGATTAACGGTTTCTAGGATTCAAGAATTCTGGGATTCTAGGATTCAAGAACGCTCCAATTCAGTGATTCAATTATCAAAAGCACACTTATTTTCCATTGCAGCGATTCAAGCTTGTTAGGTTCACGGGTGAACTAAGATGTCTCTCATCTAACGTTTAGTTGAGACAACTTTATATAAAGACAGCTCACACTCTATTACACGAAAACGCCCATATAGATACTAAGCCGCTGCACAATCTTAAGAAACGCAGCCTGATACCCTGATTATGCAATATTGTGACGTCATGTCATATTCTGGGTTCTTGCACCACCTCAGAACTGTTCTGTGTCGTTAACTAAGGCTGATGCAATAAGCAGCATAACCGTGAATATTCTTGCACAATAGCCTTAACTATGGCTTCTCACCTATGGCACAACTCTGGTGCGTGGCATAACAAACATCCACGTTCATCAATAGTTCAGAAATGGTTTAGTCCTTTAAATCATTGTCCAATATCCTGGTTCCGCGACTACCAGTATTGTCTGGCTTTTCTTTTGTCAAGGTATCATAAGAGGCCATAACCGATTCTAATTACCAAATGTTTTATGATATTCCAATAACCGTTTGATAAACGTACGACCACCACCATCTAGTGGTAGGCAAATGTCAATAACACTTGTGGCCAATAAACTGTCTCATTGCTGAAGCATGGGGCTTTGAATGATGATAGACCAGTGGGAGAGAAAACGGGTTGTAATAACAACGAAGATTTTGATAATGATTGTACTTGCATTTCATAACGTAATTCGTTCAACGTACCATATAATTTGGACGATAATATTGTGCGCTCTTTATCCATAGTCCCGATAACACCACTTGGTAATTCCACTTGTTGGTAAGTATTCATGACGTCTTCTGCTTCTTCTTCGTCTACTTCTTATACTACTTAGACTATATGCTTGCGTAATAACCTTAACCTTGATCCTCTCGGTTATGGCACGACACTAGTGCGGGGCATAACAGAGGATGCTCTTGAATTCTAGGATTCTACGATTCTAGATTCAGGAGCTGTTGTTTTTTATTGCTTGGATTCAAGGATTCTAGGACCCATGATTCTAAGATTCTAGTTTCAAGAGTACACTTATTTTTTACTGGAAGAATTCAAGTATTCTGGGATCCTAGGATTGTAGATTCACAAGTGCAGTTATTTTTTAGTTATAGGATTCAAGATTCTCAAGTACACTTATATTTTATTATTGGGATTCAAGAACGCTAGGATTATAGGAGTGAATGATTCAAGGATTCCAAAAAAATCCTAGAATCCATCACAGTGCACTGTTTTTTTATTGATAGGATTAATGGGTTGCAGGACTTTACGATTGTCGGATTCAAGACTTCAGGGATTCAAGTTCAAAAGTATGCTGATGAAGCATACCCCTCACCACACCCACACTCGCTCAACCAAGGAAAAAACATTACAGATCTTTGGAACATGATGTAAAATTGTTGAACAAAACTTAAGCAAGCAACATGGTGTTTTTCGAAGAACCAGTAAAGTTATCATGTAGTTTTCTGTGAAATATAGCTACTAATATCAAACTTCGTTCTTTGCGTTGG